ATAGATTCCAAGTTGGAACTTCTAACGTTTTAAATTATTGAAAGGTGGAGATCATGATATTGCTATGCTACACAGTGTAGCTTGATAATAAAATAGGGGGAAGGGCTGTAAGAAAGTTTGAAGTTATGACGAAAACAGCTTAATTGCTTTTCAACAAATCACAAACACACACCTGTGTATTGCGAGCGACGAGGCGTAGTCTTTTAGTATCTCTACAGACTATAATATGTGTACAGCTCTCCAATTCTCTATTTGAAGAGAAGAAAAAGGTACGAAGGCTTTACTGGAAATAAGTAAATAGATTAGGTCCCAGTCAGGCTTTGATTTTCCAGGCTTCAATTACTTGATTTACGAAGTCCTGCTGTAAAGAGTCGGACACATCCTACAGTGAGCAATGTCAAGAGATTCGATAACTCTTCTTCAACGGGCAAAACTATTTATTTTTGCTGTCACATTTTCAGGCACGTATATGTGAAAAACTTACATTTTCCAGTACTAATTGTCATCAATGACTAACTATCACTCCATATGCTCTCATATTATAGTTTTGAAATATCTAAAACTTTGTATTATAATCTTAACCAGTAATGTGTGTAATGGTGCACCAAAACTTAGCTTTTTAATCTTAGTCTTTGATCTATACTTTTTGCACAGTAGTTTTATAAATGTATCAATCAAATTAAGCGAAAAAATAGTGTTGATATACAACAAGAAAGCTTTAACTACGTGAGTGTTACCGTTTTTGTTTGCTTGTAAAATAGTTTATGAGGACTCTTTCTGTCATTCCAAGTTGTATGATTTTTTGTTTGTTTTATTGGTTGACGATATTTTTGTACTATTCTAACATATACTCTAAGGTCCAATTTGCAAAAAAAAAAATTTTATTTCTTTAAATTAATAATAATTAATCGAAAATGTATTTGTAAGAGTTTATATTGTTGTTTCTGGAACAGAAATAATAATTTTTTGTGAGAAAATCATTTTTGGTCCGTGTATTTTTGATTCTAAATGTCCGATGGATTTTTTGAGAAAGCTGATATCATCAATTTCAAGATTTAATAGTTTAGTATACATAGAGTAGTAACAAAAATGAGATTTTATTCGTTCACTTTGAAAGGCGTGTTTTTACATTTTTCTTCAAAGTGGAAATATTTTTCAGCATATTTACATTTTCCGCATGGTTTAGTAATGAATATAACGATCACCATAAGTGTTCAATCACCAATGTTTGCAAATTTAGCTATGAATAGTTTAAAGACTAATTGTTTGTTCGTTTTGAGAGAACAGTTTCATTGTCAATCTAAGTCGAATATTCTAAAACGTCTGCAAAACTTTTTGTTAATGATTAGTCTGCAGAAGGTAATAAAAAACAAGTTAGAGTATTATGGAACTGGTTCTCTTCAAATAAAAGCAATAAATCTCTAAAATTGATTGAATTATCGGTACGCGGCTATCATCCAATGGAAAAATACAAAATGCCTATCCCAGCTCCATTAAAAAAAACGTATTTTTGTTATATGGTATTTATACAACACATAATTTTATTTTCAAACGTCGATATGGTATTTTTTTATACGTTTAGACACAATTCAATGAATAGAATAATGTCCTGTACTTCTACTCGTAGGAAACGGTGGACAATCTTGATTTGAGCATTTGAGTCTACACTCATCTGTGTTTTTATTCTTTCAACGATTTTCTTGCACATATTTATCGGTATAGCTGTATAATAAGATGAAAGAAGCTCAACTACATCAAAATTTGTAAGACATAACAAAAGGAATAGTTTTTCGCTATTTAAAAAACTTAAGTATACGAATCTTAAATAAATATCAGTGCTAAGGTACAGGCTTTACCCCTTTTGATACTCACTTCGTATCGCTTCCGTGCAAATGAATTAAGTCTCCAACAAATAACTAAATTTCATTAAATTCAATGACTGTGTGATAAAGTACTACATTATTGTCCTTGTTTTGCACCAAAAATCAAATAGTAGCACAAAATTTGGGCACTTCTTACGTAATGACTTATTACCTGTCTTAACTTCAAATATTAGAGTAGACATTTTTTTTATTTTTTTAAAATGTATTCAAAACAGACAAAACATGCTATTCCAGAAAAAACGTTCATAAAACCAAATAAGCATTCTTATTTAATTGCTTTCAAAACTAACGAGATAGGAAAAAATTCATAGGTAATGAGGATAAAAATTCGAAAATTCCAGTACCGTTAATAGCATCACTTAAGGTGGTTCTTTACGATGGTGCCGTATCAAAGCGACACGGGACCCTGTGGTTTTATAATTTTCGATAAGCGTATTATTTGCAACATAAAATATGTTGTACTGGCACTTGACTATAATATCATTGCATTTACATACCAATAAACAAGCTAATAAAGTTAGAGTAAGAGTTATAAAAAAATTTTTTTTTGACGCAAGGTTCTGAAAATGGCATGTACGCTCCTACTTAAGCAGACGTTGCCGCCGATTTCTGCATGTACCTACATATACAATCTTCGAGCGTCGTCTGCCGCACAAACGTAACCCCTTCACTTTTGTTTTTATTATCCGATGTATCTCTTATCAGTCAGTGAAATAGTTAAATAATTGTAATCGTACAAAATAGTGATGCCACCTAAATATCCTGCCCGCTGTACAAGAGGGAAAATGAATGGAAATTTTGAAAAATAAACTCTAATTTTCATTTTCAACAAATAGTAATCATAACATAATTTTACTGATTGTCTTATTGCCATATTAGTAAGTGAGTCATTTTAAATTTGCGCGCGCGATCCGAGCGTCTGCTCGTTTACACGGCAGACAACTGATTACGTTTACGATTAAATATCGTTTACTATTTCCCTGATAAGCTCATACTTTTGTTATATTATTAGAAAGCTGAAAAGTTCTTCTTTCACTACAAACTTTTTCTATTACGATCTTAAGTCTACTTTACGAGATATTACATGATATCGTCGTGTGGAAAAGTAACCTACATAAGAATACATGTTAAAAGTGCATTTTTTGACTGACTTGTTTTCAAAAATTTGCCTGATAAAGGGACTTGAAATTTTAAGAGAAGATGCCTTATAACTTTAATAACAATCCCTCCAAGTTTCCCTGAAAGTTTAAGTAAATGGGTTAGGTGAAGAACCAGCTTAAGAAACGGTTATTCATAAATACCTACAAGTATAACACATCGTGTATCCTTGATAGGGTGAAAATTTTCACCCTTTTGCTGATCTTGTGTTGACTCCAATTTCTCATTGATCATTCCAATTAAGGGCTATCTAAACAGTATAATTTTTTAAAGAAACACCTATTTTTTAACTAAAAATAAATACTATGTCTTAATTTATTATAATATTATTTGTAGGCTACCATGCATTTAAGCCTCAGCTTTATCCAAATGTGGCCGAATTGCAGATTAAAGAAGGAGAAACTCTTAAAATAACGTGCATGAGCAATGCTAATATTAATTTTCATTTTCCCACCAGCAATACAAGAGGCAGGGTAAGTTGGACAATTTGGCCATTTGATGTACATATTGGTGGTAGAATATAAATATTTTGTAGAAATAATAACGAAAAGTTTTTGCGTTGGAAAAAAGAAAACCTCTCGACCCGATATAATACCAGAAGGCAGGAGCAATAACAAGACATTTATAAGATCATCAACCGTGTTTGGAGATACTGGCTGGTATTGTTGTGCTGATGAAAGCAAACAAATAACAAATATGATGCTCAAGCACTACACCGATCGGAATGTTAGTTGGATGTACGTTTATGTTACATGTAAGATGAAAAACGAATTGAATATTTACAAATCGTAATTCCACCACTACGTAAGATTATTTGTAAATGTCTACTTTTTCATATGCAGCCAATGAAAATCCATTTGTGCACGTAAATAAAAAAGGGGGTTACTTGGTAGCTTCTGGATGTCAAGGATACGTAACTTTTCCATGCCAGACGACTTCTCCTAAATTCCAAGTGACTTTAAAAAATAAGGAGAAAGTAATATAAGTCAAAGTACTTGTTTATTGCTTAACTACTGCCATTTTTAAAGTATTTTCAACTATCTTAGGTACTTGAACCCAATGAAAAGATAATTTTTGATCCCAAAATTGGTTACATTATCAAGGATACGAAAATTGATTACCTTAGTGTATTTACTTGCTCAGTAAATCAAAACAGTTTGGCAAGCGTAATCGAAATAGAGGTTTATTCCGTATCAGATTTTGCATGCATGAATCGGCCAAATGTAAGAGTAGATGGTTCCAAAGACGTCACTACAGGCTCAAGATTGAGTGTTAAATGTTCTGTTGAAGTCAGCAGAGAAGCTCTTTACAATATTATTTGGAAAATTCCTCAGAACTTGGTAATATTGAATACCTTAAGACCATTAGAATTATTCCAGTAACGGCGAAAGTTTACATACAATATTTTTATACATCACACATATTATAACATATTTTTATTAATTAGACTTCTAGCACAATTTTGGAAACTGTTAATGAAGTTGTAAGCAAATATGACGAATTTAATACAATAACATCTGAGCTCATAATTGACAAAGTGACATACGGTGATCAAGGAAATTACGTATGTCAAGTAAAATCATCGTTTAATGAAGCAAAAAGTTCCGATGTGTATATCTGCGTATATGGTATATTATAGAGATCTAACTTTTATTTACTCTATAGTAATGATTGGTTCGTCAATATTTACTCTATAACAATGATAAATATTTTTTTTTTTTTTTGACAGACTCCAACAATCCATACGTTAATCTTACGTCTACCGATAAAAACGTATACAGCATAGTTAGTAAATCTGTGACTTTTGTGGCTTATGTCACTGCGTGCCCAACACCTACATTAAGCTGGTGACATATTTAACTTTTTTTAACATTTGATTTAATAAATATAAATTATTATTTGTAATTAGTCATATGGAAAATTATATGTATTTTCAGGGTAGATAATCATGGTGGCCCAATGTATTACTTCAAAGATAAAGACTACTCAATAGTAACAAAGTACAACGAATCAACAAGTAGCTTACGTATAAATAATATTAATGCCTACAATACGGGCATTTATACACTTATAGCTGAAAATATAGCGGGAAAAAAGAACTTAACGTTTCATCTTGAAATTCTTGGTAAATCAAACATTTTTAACATTTCAAAATTATAATCTTTAAAACTGCCCAACATCAACAAGACTCTTAATAATACAGCCACTCATTTGCATTACAATAATTTAAGTACCTATATAGTACAAATATTTCTGCTTCTGAAACTAAAATTCGTCGAAAATCTCAGAATAAGTTGGAATCCATCATGTATATATATATGTATAGGTAATAATGAGCGATCATAACTCAGTTACCTAGGAGCCAATCTGAGGTACGGCTGCTTCAGACTAACCAAAAATTATATAATATTTACCAAAACAGAACATATAAAAATACCGTCTAGCTCAGTCATTTTTGGAAGTTTTCCATTTCTGGTCAATTATACTGAATTGCACGTTAAAAATTTTTTTTTGCTCAAAAAGTCTTCCTCTCATGGTCTATGAATTATCAAATTATGTATCACTTTCCGTCTTACAAATTTTAGATAAAACATTCATAACTAAATCTTTTTGATGCAAAAAACAATATGTCGTATTTAAGGGTCCTTGTATGTATCATTTATTGGCCTTATTTGTATTATCTTTTTTTAGCATGATCAATGTATGCGTATCAATGTATGTATACTTAATTGAACTATTTTCAAATTTTCTACCAAACACACATATTTTTTGGTATAACTGTAGAATAAGATGAAAAAAGATAAAATACATTTTTTTTTTGTATTTGGGCGTAACGACGAAAATAATTATTTCTCATTATTCATAATAATAGTAACCATAATAGTAATAATAATAACACTAAAAATAATCATAGTAATAAAAATGTACATAACTTCAAATCTATAGATACTTTACGTATATATAGTATATATACTTTACGGATACATAATAGATCAACTGTTTAATGACTTCAAGAATCAGTGCTCATACAATAGATTTCACTGGTATCAGAAAATACATTTTTTTTCAAGTACTCTGATACTCTGATCCTTTATAGCTATCATAGGTCAAGTGTATTTTTATTATTTAACTTTACGTTGAATCCAAAATTTGTGGTGTCATGCATCTAGTCTTCTCGTAATGATATTTTATTTTTAATTAACTCACTCAAAATATATTTTTGTGTATTATTTTAATACATATTAAGCCCAGAAAGTTTATGAACTAGTACTCTGGTAGAGAAGTTAGAATTCTGCGAGTTTGTGATTTTTTCCTTTTATTTGTAATGCAACACCCTTGTTGTATTACAACCCTTTGTATTCATTTTTTGTTTACAGATAAGCCATCGGTGGAATTTGATATGTTGTATCTTAATCGTTACTACACTGTTAACAAAAGTGCGACGTTTGTTTGCCATGTTAAAAGTACATCAAAATTTAATATATCGTGGAGCTACAAAATTTACCCGAAATTGCTATTCCATGGAATTGATGCAACATCCCAGTTACAGGTATTGATTTACATTTATCATATTGCATAATAACCAAACGTATGAAAAATAGTAATGATTTAATTTATGATACAGTTTATAACAGACAAAGAAACAAATAATCAAACGAACAATGCTAAAAATGAGTCAACAGTTACAGTAATCCTTAAAGTAAGGTCAAAAATCAAGTGCACGGCTTGCAATGATTATGGATGTAATAATAGGGAACATGATATTCACATCACAGGTTTATACATTTTAGCAATCAATTGTTTTCAAGTTTTAGATTAAAAATTTCTCGTCATACAATGTTTCTCACTTTGTTTTTTTTTCAGACGGAATCCCGAATAAGTCTTATGGAATTATAAAACCAAAAACAAAATTTCATAAAGGTCAAAATATTTCTTTAGTGTGCACTGCTGTCATTCGTGAATATTCTGAGGTACTTTGGAGTGGTGATAAAAACAAAAAACTCGTAGACTCCGGTGAGTTCCAGATTTATGTTACCTACAGATCTATTTATACATTTTGAGAGTACGACAGTTTGTCTGAACTTAAATAATCTGAATCATTTAATGTTTTAGAAAGAATACACGTCACGTTTGAAGAAACTAACTATACTCACCGTGCCATTATGTCGATCAATAATGTGAGTCTTACGGATGAAAGAGATTATTATTGTATAGCTAAAAATTCATTACATGAGGAAACTTCAGAAAAATATTCTCTCAAGACAAATGGTATTTGGGGAAAAATGTTTACTAAAATTATTATGCTTCAGGTTGCTTTTCACAAAGTTTAATCACTTTCATCTTTGATTTCAATAATTTTTTGTTAATAGTTCCGGCTCACTTTATTCGTACAAATATAAATGATGTTGCAATAATACGATTTGCAAAAGATCCTGAAAATCCCGTCTATTTATCATGTTACGTTGGAGGAACGCCAGTACCTAATATTACATGGTTTAAGGACGGTACATATTTGGAGCCATCAAAACAGTTTAGCTTAGAGGACAGAAATCAAAAATTAATAATACGATATCTTTTGAAAAGTGACAGTGGTGATTATTCGTGTGTTGCAAAAAATGGATTTTGGCCAGTAACGAAATCGCAAAAAATTATTGTAAAAGGTAACAACCATCAATGCATATAATTGAACTTTGTTTTTGAAGAAACATAACAAACTACTCCTTGTGTCTGATGACAGGGTTACTGCCCCACACAAACAACTTGTAAAGTTAAATTTATTAATATTAATTAATCCAGGAATTTTATACCTGATTGTTATAAGAAAACTTTATACTGCATCTAAGTTTCTAAGAATAAGTTAATATTATCAACTCTTAGCAATAGAATTTTTAAGAATCATTGTCCAAAAATCGACTTACGACAAATTTTCATCAAACTTTGGGGATCGCTTAGCTATGTTGCTATACATCATTCGTTACAATTTTGAAAATATTGCCCGTGACGTTTTTGAGATACAAAGCTTTTTTTTAAATTTTTAAATATTTGAATTTTCGTGTGTCTTGCAATGCTTTCAGTATATCTATGTAGTGTTGAAATTTTCCTAACCTTTTTGAACTTTATTAGAATTTTTAAATATTTCTCGAGATCTATGGAATTTATAAGTTTTTTATGCTGTTTCGATGAGAAATTATGTAAATTATCAATAATTTATATAGCAAATTACTCAATAAACGTTAATTTGAACAGGTATACATGTATTCATTTGCACCAACTACCTTAATGACATTTACATTATAATATGTTTATTACATTAATTAATTACAGAGCTTCAATTGCTTAGTAGATAGCGTTCTAGCATCCTAGTCGAAGATATTGAGGGGTCGTGGGTCCGAAAACCGTCTAAAATTACCAAGATTTTTTTCTCGGTCTTTTTTAATGGCATGAATAAGTATCCGGGATGCCAAAAAACGATTTATCCGATTTTTGAAACAAATAGTCGATTTTTCTCGTTATATCTGGACCTCCAGAAGCTTCTTTTTCGAAGGAAAGCCAACGCGTGGTCAGCTCAGGTTATACAAAGGTCGGTATAAGTACAGCGAGTTAGGTGGTTTATTGGAAAATATCCTTCCGTTAAACTTGATTATAGCTGGGGTGGGCTTGAGAAAATCGCTGCGTTTTATAAATAGTACCCATAGTGTGATCAAATTAGCTGAAATGTCGGTAATTTTTCAAGAAATCCAGACAAGAACGAAAAAAATATATTTTAGAGAATTCAACAAAGCAAATCGGTTGTAATAAAATTAAACAAAAAATATCTTTTTTATCCTTAGAAAAAATGGCAAAAATGGTAAAACGCGGTTTTTAGCGTCGGAAATGAACAGAAAGCCTAAAGAAAAAAAAGTAAATTGAAGTATGTGTGACAAAAAGATTAACAAAATAAGCTCTGGTCAACCTCGATTGGTCCAAAAGTTTCTCAGCAAAAAAATTCGATTTTTAGGACAATATTCAAAAATTAATAACTGTCTTTGGTATAAACATTGAGAGCTGAAATTTGGCAGAGTTGTAGCTTTAGTAGTCTTCAACAACCACACCCAATTTTAGTAAGATCGAATAGATAGTTTTTGCAAACCACAGCTAAATGAAAAAAAAGTACTTTGGCAAAATGGCCTAAAAAAGTTGTTTACAACGTCAGATGAAAAATGTTTTCAGAATCGTATTGTTTAATACTTAATCTACAATTCACCAAAGTATCAAATTTTTTTACAGTGTGGAAGTTCGTTATTCGTTCCCAAGATTTCGTTACTTCTGAGAGCGCTTGCAGTTTCAACGTGCTCGATCGATAACATCGAAGTTGAGCTTCATATCAGAGAGTGAAAGCGGTTTATGCATTGGCGACTACGGCGGCTCATTGCCTTTCACGTGCCGTACTATTGTACTATTTCTATTGTATTATATATGCGTAAGAAATATCCATGTCATTTACTTTTTTTAAGCTACTTGCCCACTGCAAAAAAATTCGCTACTTTAGTAAGATATAGAGTAAGTTTTAAAGAATATGATCCCGCAAAAAGAATTGCATTTAACGTTGTAAATATTTTTTTAGGCCCTTTTGCCAAAGTACCTTTTTTTGCATTTAGCTGCGGTTTGCAAAAACTATCCATCTAATCTTGCAGACATTTGGTGTGGTTGTTGAAGACTACTAAAACTACAACTCTACTCAATTTCAGCTCCTAATGTCTATGCGAAAAAGAGTTATTAATTTTTTAATATCAGCTCGAAAATCGAGGTTTTTTGCGTTTTGCGGGGAAACCCCTGGGCCAATCGGGATTGACCGGAGCTTTTTTTGTTCGCCTTTTTTCCATGCATACTATTTTTTAAATGTTTTTTAAGGTTCATTTTGTTCGTTTCCAACGCTAAAAACTGTTTTTACCATTTTTGCAATTTTTTTTGAGGCATTAGAGAAAAATTTTTTTTGTTCAATTTTATTACTGCCGGTCGGCTTAGTTAAGTTCTCTACAGTATTTTTTTTCGTTATAGTCTAAATTTCCATTGCCGAAAACTTAATTCGATTACACTTCCAGCAGGATGGATGATCGAGTCGTCTGAAGGGAACTTTTCAAGGGGCCCGCACGAAAGCCCGCATACTTGGGGAAATAGGTGATGGTAATTACGGAAAAAGAGAAAGGGAAATAGAGATTAGGGATGTAGGATACGTAAAAAAATCTGCAAATGGGTATCCGTGAAATCCAAATACTATACTATGCATCTATTAGTTCATGGGACCTATGCGTCTTAATTTTACCAGTGCACTCCCCCGCGAAAACGTACCATGATAAACTTCATTCTTGAAAAAAATCACCTAGAGTAGGATTTGATTTTCCTCATTTGCCACAGTATGGAAAACATACATTATCCGCGCACTATTACGAACAAAACTTTAGAAAAAAGATTTAAATAGAACTTACACATCAAAAAATTGTCAAAATCATGAAATTATTTCTCCATATTGTTATCTGTTTTAATTTTGTTTCTACTATATTCTTTAGGCGAACAATTCCTTTAAAAAAAAGACTTTTTTTATTAAAAAAATTGTTTTGACTTTAGGGAATCAAAAACTTGACTTTTGGACTGGAATAATAGTATGGTTCATTACAATTCTGATGACTCTTTTAATTTACTTTTATTTAAAAGCACGATATGGGAAGGTGATTAATAAGTTAATATTACTATTATAACACTAATGATGAAGAATTTAACCTGCTAATAAAAAAAATAACAAAATGTGTAATATTTTCAAGTTTAAAGAAATGCAGCTATTGGAAGCTGGTGTTACGCATTTTGAAGAAGGAGCACTTGATCTACTGAACCCAGAACTAACAGTAGATGATCAAGCAGAACTTCTTCCTTACGACAGGAGATGGGAGTTTTCTAGAGAGAAATTAAGATTAGGTAAAAAATTATATTGTCAGAACAAAGAAATTGTAAGCATTGAAGTGACCAATGATAAAGTATAACTTATAATTCATTCATTTTAAGATAAACAATTGGGTAGTGGAGCTTTTGGAGTTGTGTATAAAGCAGAAGCTTGTTGAATTCTTACTGGAGAATCAGTTACAATAGTAGCTGTAAAAACAGTTCGCAAAAATGCAGATCTAATGTATATTAGTGCACTAGCAAAGGAGCTCAAAATTATGATTTATCTAGGACATCATTTAAATATCATAAATCTTGTAGGTGCTTGCACTAAAAATATAGCCAAACGTAAGAAATCACGTAAAACTGTAAAAACTACGTATAAAAGACATTATTCAACCAAAAAATTAAATTATGTTTTAGGTGAACTTTTGGTAATCGTCGAGCTCTGCAGATTTGGAAATCTGGAAAGCTATCTTGAGTGCCATCGAGAAAGTTTTATCAATCAAATTGATCTGAATACGGATAAAATTAATCCACGGATAGGAAAAAATATGAGAAGGTATTAGTTTTACTTCTTACTAACATAACTTTTACAAAACAGAAAGAATGAATCTTGAGTGAATGACAAAAAGTAGTTTTACAAGAAAAAAACTAATAAGCCAAACCAAACAAAAACAGACAAAATATTTTGACCAATTATGAATAAGAATGAGTTACAAATTCTGATATGCTACCATACTTTCAACTTACAGGTCAAAACACAAGGCATTTGTCATTTCCGATTATATCAATACGGCTTCCGGCAATAACAAGACAAACAATGAGTCCATTATCTACGACTCTGAGGCTCACAGCTTTGACGGTGAATCTAGTGATGATCTCAACAATGATGGCATCCAGCCAGGTTGGCGCTCTAATTATAGGGGGGACTACATAGAAAGTGATTTTGAGAATCTCTGCTCACAGGATCTTCTTTTATGGGCTTATCAGGTGGCAAATGGCATGGAGTATCTTTCCCAACGGAGAGTAAGTAGATAAGAGAATACAAGATTTCTTAATGACGTATTCTCGATTGTACATTAACTAATTAGAGTTTATACTTGTAACTGCATTCGCAGGTGTTACACTGTGACTTGGCAGCAAGAAATATATTACTGGCAGAGAACAACATTGTAAAAATTTGCGACTTCGGACCGGCAAAGACATTGTATAAAGACCAAAACTATAAAAAGCAACACGAAGGAAAGTTTCCTGTTAAGTGGATGGCTATTGAATCTATGAGGGACGGGGTCTTTTCAACTATGTCAGACGTGTGGTTCTTTGGTGTAGTTTTATGGGAATTTTTCACCCTAGCCGGAATACCTTACTTAGGTATGGGGTTCGAGAGAATGTATCAAAAACTCATCGAAGGCTACCGCATGAGATGTCCTAGTTATGCCACCAAAGACATGTAAAACAAATTTGTTATTGAGTTTGATATTTGATTTAATTTGAGATTTGATATTTGAAAACTATTATTGTACGCTTTTCATTTTTCTTTTAGCTACGATATTATGCTTTGTTGTTGGGAGGAAAACCCGATTTTTAGACCATCTTTTACGAAACTGGTCGAATGCATTGGTGAACTTTTAGAGGATGACATCAAATTGTACTTCCTAAGATTATACAACAAGTATGAATTTTTGAATGTTTCAAGTCACTCAGAGGAAAGAAAGGACAACGCAGCTGATATTTTACCACTAGATTATAAAATATCGCTCTCAAGTCAGCATAACTATGGTAATACTTTTTCTCAAACCGCAAGCCCGTCGTACGTCAACGTCCTTATTGATACCTAACGTAGTTGCTAAGTAATACTTTTTATTTTTCTTGTATGACAGCAAACTTTTAGAGCATGAACATTAAAATAATTACTTCAATCTTTTTGACTCACACCTTAAATAAGTACACAATTAAAAACTTTTTGATCATTTAAGGAGTAATGGTGGTTTTTTGTCAGAAACAATATTTGCTAGGGCGTGTATATCACGTACAAGTTCATCAATACAGTTTAGGCACATAATGATAATGTTAAGTCGAGCTAATATCGTTTATATTAGCACATGTTTATTATTCAACCTCTCATTCGAATTGGTAATAATAAATGTTTTTCATTTTTCTAATAAAAGAATATTAAATATATTTCTTTGTACATATTTATTTTCTATTGTTTAACAAAGCAAAAAGTAAGCAAAGGAACATCTGAGAAAACGAAATCAAAAAACAGAAAACATTGGAAATAACTTATTACTAATAAGCTAAGTAATTATTTATCTTACAAATAAGTCATTACTATTTGTAAGTTCATTCACAATTTTTGTAGTTCAAAACTCCTAAAAGTAATATCATTGGATTTTAATTGACTGTCAAAATCTTACCAACGCGTATAAGGAAACATTGAAATCCACTCTTCTGTGTAACTATCAGCCCCCCCGTCTCGGCTTCGCCCGAGACTTACTTAATAAAACACCGTAGTGTGTTGACATGTAATGTGAAACATATTTTCAGTTAGAAATTTTACACGTATTCCTGATACATCTCACAACAAAAATCTTCTTATTAAAAACGTAATTTTTTCGGAATCCATATAGTTTATTTGGTCAAATAATAAGGTGTAAAAATTCCAAAAAATAATTATGCTGAAAAGTACCGTGCGTTCTTTATGCCATAAAATAATCGGTGGCCATAAGAAGCCGTTGATTTACAGTTTCTCCCGTGTTATTCACGAAAACGACTATTTTTTAAAGCTGTTAAGATTTTAAATCACCAAAAAATTAATATTAAAAAAAAAATTATTTTTCTTATATCTCACAACTTTATTACCAGAGCAACAAAGTCCTGGACCTTAAACCCTACATTTTTATTGCCACAAAAACACAAATACATTTTCTACTCATTAAAAAATCTGAAGTAGGATCTTTAAAGATTTCAGAGATTGCTGTAAGGGTACAATAAAAAGCTGATCTCTCACGTAATGGACTCTTTAGTTGTCGATTTTGACGCTGCTGTTTCAATCTCGATAAATTTTCTGCGTCAGTTTCTTGACGCCTAAGTAAAATTGTATTTATTAGATACACTTGAAGTTTTTCTTCCAATTCACCCTCTTGCGACTTTTGGCATGCTTAAAATTTTTGTGACCCCTGAAAGCTGTTTTCTGTCAACTTTGTTAAGTTCTAATATATTTGTTGGCAAGGTAGTTCGACGTCTGATGGCCCTAAAAAAGACCGGTGAGCTTATTAAGTTAACTCTTTCTTAACTGCAGTTAACAGCAATTGTGACTACCTGGATACCTTAGGATGATCTTCTCTGGCTTGCTGTTGAAGACCCAGACTGATCGGGAGAAAAATTACAAAGTCCGAAGCTTTGGGGCTAGTTGTAGTGCTCTTTCCCAACGTCTCCCGGTATAACGTCAAAGACGTTGGTGTCTAAAGCACCTTTTTTATTTGCAGATTCAATTGTTTTGGTGATCTTAGATGGGGAGATTGGTTAGTGATACTTGTCCAGTGGAGGCTGTCCCGTTGACTCAAGTTTTTTTTCCTTCATAGCTGTAATAGGTTTGCCCAGCGCAGACCATAGAGAGGATCAGTGATTCCTGGTTCAATGCTTAGAGTCGAGAGGGTAGTATAGGGTCGTCAGTCACTGGGTTTTCCAGCCTTGCGAAGAACAACTCCGCAGGTGACGTGTGCTAGTGAATGGATGACTTGGTTTAATAGTGCCCGTATTTAGTTAATATAGTCTTTGAGTCGACGAATCGCTTCCGGAAATGGTAATAAAAATGTATTTGTTGGCAAGGTAGTTTACACTTAGGTGGATCCTAAAAAGAATCGATGAAATTGATGGTTAAGTAGGGAACGTAAATACTTATAATGGCCCTAAAAAGCGCCAGTGGTGAAACTTCCAGGCTATTCTTTAGTATTATTCCTGATTATGAAGAGCTGGCTACGGGTTGCTTGATTCTTACCCTAGGAGTCTCGATGTACGGAGACTGTGATGGAGGGAGGTACGCCGCTGACCAAATAATATCTCGTCTTCGGGTCGTTCCCCGGATAACCACCCGCATGAATGGACACCTAGGTCCCTTCCCCCTTAGAGAAGAGTGTCGTTCGTAACCGGGATACCCAGCTGCAAGACTATCATCAGCATTCTCTATACAGCTCGTTGAACTGCCGAAGCTCGACTGCATCACTATCGAGACGCTCCAGCCTATTATAACCACACTTATTTAATTCTGTTGCAGGTAGCCTCGATTTTATGTCGACGCCACCTAGTGGATTTTACTGAACTAAAGTGAAAAGCTGGCGTGTTTTTGCAAAATTTTAAGCTCATTAATTGCTAATGTTATCAAATTTCTTAAGATAAAACCTTTACCAAAACCATCTAAGAAGTATCATGAATCAGTGTGCAAAATTTCTTCAAAATCGGTTCAGTAGTTTTCGCGGTTAGCGATTACAACGGTTTTAGCGACTTTGCTTTATATATTAGTAAGATAAGATAATAACATGCATGCTTTGTGGCAAAACACTTTGACTTCAGACACTATTAGTTTTAATTAGTGGGAACTCAGATATCATCTGTGAGAAATCTGTAATTTTTTTTCCTTCACCTAATGAAAATATCAGATTTTTGAAAACTTTTAAATAAAATATTAAAAATTTATTACGGTTGCTATCAAATAAACGACTATTAAGACTCTGAATTGTTAAAACAAGTAACTTAGCAATTAATGGTGGGCACAGTTGTAACAAAGTGGAGTAAGCGACTAAGTGGACTAAGGGTAGATGGTAAATTATTTTTCTACATTTTATAGTAAACTGGCTTAATTGCTGTCCATCCAATCACAAACATACACTTTGTATGCGTATGCAAAACGTACGCCTGCATGAGGCATAGTCACCTCCGGTATGTCTGCAGACCAAGTGTACAGATCTCTAGTTTTCTGTTTGACCACTGTGACGATTTACAACATATCTACTTGAATAACTGATACATCTACAAGCCATATAACTTTGGGATATTCTTCACATCAAAATACACTCCAAACGCATGAGGCTAAAGTCAGGTTCCGACTTTTGAAACCTCATTTATTTGATTTCTTTTGTCATACTTTCAGGCATGTATAAGTAAAAAACATTTATTTCTCAATATTCAACTGTGATGAAGAATTTACGTGAATAAATGCTCGATGTCAAGCCAAGGGTGATGGTTAACGTGAAATCTTATGCATTTCTTAACCTCCGAACGTGGTGCACATTCTATTTATTATAAATCCTACACCGAGAGAAAGGATTTCCGTCCCGCAAAGCAGAACGAAAGTTCCTACTTTCGGCGCAGTATGATGAAAAATGTTTTATTCAACGATTGTGCGTGTTAATTCTAACACTCGCATTATTAGGTACTTTTTATTATCCAGATAGAATCTTCTAACCTACAAACTCGTTTCGAAATGTATAATTTTTCCTGTCTTAACTTTAAGCGATGGAATGAAACTTTTTTTTACCAAATTATCCGAATAAAGGGGAAAAATGTTGTTTTAAACAGAAAATGTATTATTGATTCTAATGAGTTTAACAATTTAATCGCCTTCAAAGTTCAAGAGATAACAAGAAATTCATAGAAATAAGAACGAAAATTAGAAAATTTTAACACCGATAATACCTCTAAGGAGACAATTATCAATGCAAAACTGTGTATACGAGAAATCGTATCCTTGATAAGATAGATATTAGCAGTCTTCTAGTACTCTTGTGTTATAATTAAGATTTGATAGTTATCATCCTAATTCATAACTATATACTAAGTAAACTTTCTTAAAGTGACATTTAGGTCCAAGCCACCACATAAAACTATACTTTGATTAGGGGATAAACTTATCACAATAAAAATATTTACAGGCTGGCATATGGATTCAAACCTTAGCTCTATCCTTATGTAACCAAGTTGCAGATAAATGAAGGAGAAACCCTCAACATTATATGCATGAGTAATGGATACATCAATTTTTATTTCCTCACCAGTGATACAAAGGGCAGGGTAAGTTACATGACTTGACTAATTTATGTTTGTATTGGTTGAAGAAAACTAAGCTGTGGGTCTCGGGACCCCCGACAGAAGTAAAATCTTTAAGCGTTATGATGCTAGATTTAATCTTATAGAAAGCAAATCTTGGTAAATGATTTTTTTGGCCATCATTATTGTCCTTCGAGATATAAGCGTTTTCTCTGTTTTTTAGAAGATTTTGTAGCCACACCATAATTTCGAAACAATTTTTACATTTTCATATTGGGATATCATAAACGTATTATAATTTTTTATCTTTTTATCTCTTTTTCATGAGGTTACAAATTTAAGGTTAGATTTCTATATTCCTTAAAAAATCCAGCATCTTCCCTATGATAAGACTATATCTGTAAGCGATCAAAACGGTCTTTTTTGCAGGTGGCATGAATTTCTTTATTCGTCACTTTTTCATGCTTCAACTATCGGACTAGAAGAGAATTTTTGCTTTGCACTCGGAGTTCTTTGTGCAAATATAGTTTTTTACCAAAATCTATAGAAAATCAAACGAGTTCTATTAGAATATGTATCTTTGGCAATGAGCTCGTGACGACCTCTACATAAGAGCCCGCGTATAACAGAAAAACTTGGAGATTTTTTTTTTTTCATAAAATACAAAGTTAGTTTCTCTGAAATTTTAATATGTTATGTGTAGTGATAAAATAAGTGTCTCATAATTTTTTTTTAATTTTATAGAAAATGAAACATCCCAATAACTCCCTTAACTTAGTTACAAAGAAGTCAT